TCTCTTCAAGGCGTCCGGACCGACCACGGACAGAACGCTGCGCAGCCTGGGGAGAAAAACATTCAGTAAGGATTGACTGATTGGCCAACAGTTGGCCGACCTGGGATAGGAAGGAGCCTCCTGATTGGCCGTCATTAGGCCCCGCCCACCTCTCTCGGCGGTCGGCCGGCCCCTCTCCGAACAGCGTGATTGGCTCTCCCAGCGCTCGCAGGCCGGCCTTCACCTCGGCGTCGTCGGTGGAGACGGTGATCTGTCGCGCTCGGCGCCGCCGCTCGAACTCGGCCAGCGCCTCCAGCTGGCGCTCGCTGACACGCTCCTCCATCTCCATGGTCTCTCCTGCAGGGAATCATGGGAAACAGAGTAATTGGGGAGTGCTGCCATCTAGTGGTCAGGCTGGATCCATAACCAGAACCGAGTCATTTGTCTATCTGCTGCACCTTTAAAGAAAATGATTAAATTTCTTTATATTCAAGATTTTAGAATTAATCAAATTCTGGGGAACCATTTTCTTGCACCTAATGACCTCACCTGATGACCTCACCTAATGACCTCACCTAATGACCTCACCTAATGACCTCACCTGTCCAGCAGGGAGCAGCACCAACTGCCTGTATCTCACCTGATGAGATGTTAATGTTTCCTGCTCTGATGCCCGCCTTCAGTGCATCACTTCCTGTGGTGGCGCTGCTGGCCGTCTCCATGGTGATGCGCTGCCGCTCCTTCTCCTCCAGGCTGCCGTAGAACAGGCGGCTCTTCTTCACGGCCGGAGCCGAGTCTTCCTCGTCCGACATTCTGACTCTGCAGGGAGAGAAGAAGAAGTCCTAAGATGGCGGAGTGCAGGCTCTGGCATTCAGTGATTGTTTAGCCAAAATTTAATCCAAGCTGAGCTTTAGCCCTGTTTCAAAGCGTTTTATTTTTTTACTCTCAGTTTAGCATCCATTTCTAACACCCTTGAGGTGCTGCTGCCTCTCCAGCTGGGCGAAAGGCAGGGTCACCTGGACAGGTCAGCAGTCTGTCGCAGGGCAACACAGAGAGACAGGACACACACACACACACACACACACACACACACACACACACCTAGGGAGAGTTTACAGGGACCAATTAACCTGACAGTCGTGTTTCTGGACTGTGGGAGGAAGCTGGAGAACCTGGAGAGAACCACCATGCACAGGGAGAACATGCAGGAAGACCCAGGGCCGGGAATCGAGGCCACTGTGCAGCCATAGTTTAGCATTCTTTTGAAAATATTTCATCCTTCATCTTTAATTTTTCTCACCGTCTGGGAGTTTATCTAAGGAAGCTAGCATGTCAGACCACATCTACAACCGGTCGGCTCTTTGACAGGCCTGTGGCAGAGATATTATTGAAGACATTGAGTTGGTCGGGGCCACGTCTGATCCTTCTGGCCAAGAACAGAAGGTGAACTGGGATCACACATCTATTAAGAAGAAAATGAAGCTACAGGAACCTGAATGTAAGGAGGATGCAGCTTGTAACATAACCACTATGTTTGTTGTTTTTCCCCTGGATAAATACATTGAAGAGTAAATGTATCATCTGGTTTTTAGGTGTGGCTGATACTACTGAATAAAAAGGGGCGTGTGCGTCGGCGCAATCAGAGAGGAAGACGCTCACGGTCAGATCTGTGCAGCGGGAGACTTGACTGAATGTTTAAAACAAGTAATAAATCAAAGAAGAGATAAAACAGCAATTAAGCTTCGCCCCAGCGCCGCAGATCGTGGGCTTTAGAAGCTGGATCGGAGCTTGGACCCAGGAAACGCCACCGGGGCAAAGAAAGACGTTCCCGGTGAGATCTGGACTTTACTTTTCTTTTTGGAGATTTTTGGTGGTACCACTCTTTTTTCTCATGTTTTGGAGGGGGAGGATTTGACGCTTTGGATTTTTCATTTTGGATTGGGACTTTGGATTAAAATGGAGAAACTCTACCAGGATATGGAACTCTTTTGTGGACAATATTTGCATTAAAAAGGAACGGGAATTTCTGGACATTTAACCTTTTGGGTTTCTATACTGACATAAACTGAGTGATTTAAATCTAACAGTACTTTTGGTACTGATCTATTTATCAGGATAACTATTATTATTTCTTAGCTTTTGGTTTTTGTAATAAATCATTGTTGCTAAAAGTCAAAACAATTTCATATTGAGTGGTTGGCTATTTATTTTCTTGTCAAATTAAATGGTGTAACATATTTTACCTGATGCCTGTGACGTATCCCCCCTTGAATGTATTTGTGAGTTCTGCTTTAAATAGAAGCTGAATTTTACAAGCTAATGCCATTCTTTATGCGATAGGAGGACTTAACGTATCGAGGCTAATACCGCCATTGAGGTAAAAAAGAAAGCCGTATCAGAGCTCCAAGCTACAGTTACCCTTCTGAAAAAAGAAAACACAGTGCTGAGGATCTCCTGTGAAGACCACGATCATTACAAGGGGTAGGTAAGGGTTAGGGTTAGACCGGACGATGAGAACCTACGGGAATCCATCATCGGGATCTTCACCAGGATCATCCCTGTCTCCGTGGATCGGCTGCGTGATACGGTCGCCACCGTTCACAGGTTGGGAAAAAAAGCTGGCGCCACTTCGGCCACCAGCCGTCCCAGAGCCGCCATCTTTCAGTTCGGGATGCGAACCATGCAGATGAGGTCTGGATGAGATCCAAAGATGCTAAAGTTTGTAAAGATGCACATCAGCTTCGAGGAGGACTTTTCTAAGGAGGACAGGCTGAGCTGTAGCCCCTGGTTCAGGAAGCCAGGAGCTGAAGGAAGGCTTCGCCCTGATCGATAATCGAAGCCCTGAATAATTACACCGCCGTTTTTCTTTTACTCCCACTGGTATGTTATGTTTGTATTAAAGGGCTATCGCACTATTCCACACAGCTGCTACTGGCTGTTATCTCATTCCTGCTCATCGATCCTGAGATTTGTTTTTGCACAACTACTGTGTTTCTTTCATGGTGTCATTACTTTCACTTAATATTAGGGGTTTAAAAATATTGTTAAACATAAGGCTACTTTTCTTTATTGTAAGGAGCAAAAGGCAAATTGTTTTTTCTACAGGAAACTCATTCATCAAGTGAGGAGGCTAAATTCTGGAAACTTCAATGGGGTGATAACATTTATTTTAGTCATGGTACGTCGCATCCAGCTGGTTATGATTATGTTTTACAAATTCCCAGGTTGTTTGTTGGAGCATATCAGTGATACTGATGGCCACTGGGTAACTGTAATATTGGAAATGGATGGAAATAAGATCATTTTGGTGTGTGCATGGGTACAATAATAAAGTGATGAATAGTATATTTTTGCTGACCTTGGAGTGATGATAAAACATTGGAAATTAAAATATTCCACTGATCAGGTTATCTTAGGAGGAGATTTCAGTGCAACTCCAGATGGATCAATTGGTTGTCTCCCCTCTAGGGGGCAGCACCAAACTTATGACGATATTTTTGTAAACTTAATCTCTATTACCAATCTGACAGACTGCTGGAGAATTAGAAATCCTAATACCAGACAATACTCCTGGTTCAATCCTTCTGGAAATGGCCAGAGCTCTAAGCCAGATTACTGGTTAATCCCTCATAATATGGTAAATAATATTTCAAGCTGTGAAATCTCAGCAGCTCCTCTAACAGATCATTGTTCAGTTTCCTTGTTTCTCTCTCCAAATAAATCTAAACCACCTTCAAACGTAGCGTGGAAGTTTAACATTAATCTGATGAATAATAAAACTTTCTGTCCTGAACCTCATTAAGGATATTTCAGTAATGAATCTGTCTCCCTTAAATAAGTGGGAGTGGTTTAAGTTTAAGGTTCGGACAGCAGCAATAAAGAGGCAAACTTGCTTCACAGCGGAGGAGACAGAAACAATCCCAACTTATTAGCAATATTAATTCTCTATGTTCAGTTTTATCTTCTGAAGAGCTGAGTCAGCTGGATGTTCTCATCTAGACGATGTTTTTCTAGATAAACGTTCATTCGCTCGATGGATGGAGGACGGACAAAAAAACTCTTCATATTTTTTCAATCTTGAGAATCAGAGACAGTCCAAAAAGAAGGTTGGGAAACTAATTATTAATGGTAATGTCACTGAAAACCCTGATTTACTAAATATAGCAATTAGAAATGCTTATAATGATCTTTATTGTTCTCAGTATTCAGAATCCAGTTTCCTGTCCTTTCTGACAAAATTCAGGAATCTGTTAAAAAAATGAATTCTGATTTTAAAACCTTTTGGAAGACGACTTAAGAATCGAAGAGCTTGACAAAGCAACACAAACGGTAAACTCCTGGATTAGACGGTTCACCGCTGAATTAGGGTTAGAAATATTTATGAAAACTATAATGTGAGGCTCTGCTGGATGAATTTCAGACAATAATCTCTCTCCCACCATGGAGGTCTGATTACTCTGATCCCCAAAACAAAGATCCTTTATCACTAGACAGCTGGAGACCCGTCACTCTGATGTACAGATTACAAACAGTGGATTGTTACCATTATTAATGAATGCCAGTCAATTCTTAAGTAGCTCAGTTTCTCTGGAAAGAGGAATCAGGCAGAGCCGCCCAATTTCACCACAATTATTTACATTAGCAACTCAAATGCTTACCTTACTAATTATGA